CAATACAATCGACAAACTCGGCGAACAACTGAACATCAAGTTATACTACCTGAGCTACAAAAACAACAATAAACACCGTTGTTTACAAAATTGTCATATATATATATATATATATATATATAATGACTAGTAGCCTGTGGAAACTGTAAATGCTATGAGATCTTCCACAAATTAAATCAAGGGGTGTGGTAGTTTTGTATTTGGGTAGTTGGTTGAACCTACGACATCTCGGGAGTTTTTACAAGTCGCATGCTCTGGTAATACATGCAGCTCAAAACCAATAAAAATTAAGTCTTGGTTTTGATGGCTCTATAAAAAGACACTCTCCTCCTCTGTATACACCTCATTATCCCTTATCAAATTGATAAACACACTGAAGTTACGGTGAACATCCCCCACACCAATTACTTCTAATTTTATGCGACTAACTCCAGCGTGAGGATGGGTAGGCTTTTGGTTTACTCCTTTCACGATGAATAAAGACCAGTGTGGCACGAGAAAAACTGAAAGTAAGAAACTGCGGAGAGGATTAGGTAAACTAAAGAGAACTGCGGCATAATTTTGCTACAATTCTGCTCAATATAGAGACCTTTCTACACGCTTAATTTTAGCGTCAATACAATCTCATGGTAACCGGCAGCCTAAGCCATGAGACTTGGAGTGGTGAACTACAGAGAAACCTCAACAGAACAGGTGAGATACTGAGTGGTACGATAGCAACGCTGATTACAGCGAAAGGTGGGTTGCAGTGACAGGATTATTTTAACGGATCTCAGAGCCAAAAGTGCAATATCGACGGCTTGGTCACCACCACCACCTTGATCACTTTCCACCAGATTGCAGAAGCTATTTTGAGTAGGCTCTATGGAACGAAAACCTATTTTGTTTAGTTTATAGCAGGTAAGGCTCGTTCGAGACGGAGGAGTTTTCTGAGTGAACAAAGCATTACCTACTCTACACTCCAGTATGATTAGGAATCACAAGGAATGATAATTCAGCAGCGGTGATGAGTCGTTTAGTCGCTGTCACTGGCGTGCTTTAAAACTTATGATCCGAGGTTCGAGCCCCGCCACCGCCACCCAACTTGGGTGGCAGACAGCTTTGCTGTCATCTGGCACAATGACACGCCCAACCTTACTATTCATGATCCCAATTCCCGAGGCTTAGGTTGCCGATATCGATAACTGAACAACAGGTCGTGGCAACTATGGAGTCTATCCCGTTCGCTGTTCATCACACAAAAATGTGTCATAAAAAACGGATACCAGAAACCTAAATCTTCGAACCTGGAGTGGCGAACTACATAATGCGCCACTAAGACGTGGTACTGAGTCCAACCACAACAAAAATGCCCACAATTTCGAAAGATATAATGCCAAATATAATCACGAATTGTAAATAAGAGAATGAAATGTGATCGGTTTCATGTGTATGGAGTCTTTCATAGAATAAGCGTTGTTCCTAAATACGCACGCTAGAGCCCATTTTAGCTATTACACTACGTTTTACGTGCCTGAACATATGTTTACCTGTTTTCACCATCACGTGTTTGGAGGTTCGGATTCTAACTCTCCGGATCTTGCGTCGTGTCGTGACTCGGGATTGGAAGGACCCCCAGTAAATTGTTGACAATGCGCAAGTCACCCACAATAGAATAAAGCATTCTTGTTCACTCACTGCGTGTGCATTTGTATGCGACGACTGACTGCGGTTCTTCTGAAGTATAACATCATTGCCTTTACAAGTATTTCAATGTAATTTCAAGGTAACTAAACCTATTTCAAAGAACGCTCATATGTGACCGAAATGCAGTGTTTCAGCCTCAACACATTATATTCAGATAGAGAAAAACTTCTAAAAGAAGGCTATCATCGACTGCTTGACTCTTGAAAACGATGACAGCTCTGGCTGCAACTGCAATGGAGGACCCAGGCGTTTTGACAGCGCGCTTTTCATAATTCTTTTAGTGATCTTTTTTGAATTTCTTAGTTTTTACTTCCTTCATTTGCTTAGCGTATACAAATGCAGTCAACTCTCAGGAAGGTGGCCAGCGCAATAAGAAGGCTCTCTGAGGAAATACAAAAATATGGCAGATGAATGGTGTTGGTGGCGCGGTTTGAACACAAGTTATCTAGGTTGCTATTTTGATGACCATTTGATCACCACCGGAAATTATGACAGCTACATACGAAAGCAAAAAAAGCACATTAACTTACACAGATCGCGAACG